GTGTGTCACAAATAAATTAGGTTAGGTCAGTATACAGAGAATAATCCACTGTGACTGTGCTAACAGACACACTCTCATTCTACTGAAGGTGCACACACAGTGGGTACAGTCACAGAATGATCTAGACATGATTAAAGCCCCCCCCCACCCCCAACCACCACCAGTCTAATTCACCTACATGTGCAGGTGGAGATGCAGCATTGTAGCTATTCACGTTTTGCCTATTAGACACTCAATGCCTGTAGACTGTGAAAGGTGGCTCTGAAAATATTATTGCTCTCTTCTTTGTGGAGGACAGCACTGAAACACAATGGTTTCTAAAGCAGCAAAAAAGTTTAGCCTGAGGGGCCCCTGGTTCAGAGACTCTAGGAAATATAGGAAGTGTTATATTTTTTGTTTGAATGTCACAGAGCTCAAGACACAAAACGGGCAAAAAAAGATTAGGAAAATGCCCATAGAGAATAAAAATAACCATAAAGAGATACAAAACAACTACAGACAGTTTAAAAAAATGACCAAAAATAGCCGAAAAGAGATGCAAAATGAGCACAGTGATACACAAAATGACCACAGGGACAAGAAACAACAAAAAACAAAAAAAATGAGCACAGAGATAAACCATAGATGACTAAAAAGAGATTAAAAACAGCCACAAAGCAACACAATCTGAATACACAGACACAAAGCAAGAGAGACCACAGCTGTTATCATCAAACTACAATTAAAAAAAACATCCTCAAACCGCTGTATTAGTTAAAGCTGTGTAGAAATGAACACGAGAACTGCATGCTGAGGCTCACAGCAAAGCAGGCTCCAGCTGGGGACATGGAATAATGAAAGTAAAGAGCTTTTCTTTGTGTCCTTGGGCTCCAGCTGTGTCACTTCAGCCAGATCAATAATCACCCAGCCAAGCTCGAGAAGCAAAGGTGTGTGAGGGCGTCTGTGAGATGAGACAGGAACAGTTTACAAAGCCGGGATCAAACCACTGTCTTGTATGTCTTATGTTGTATTTTGGTTTCTTCTGACAGTGTGGGTGTGTGTGTGTGGTCATAAACATACAAATCTGCTTTTCTGTTGCTAGATGTGAAAATGCAGCAGAGGTTGGTGCTTGATAAGAGACAGACTAAAAGGACCAGATCGTCAGGTCACATTCTTCAGGCTCCTCTTCCCTCACTCTCTTCCTCCTCCCCCTGTCACTTCTCTTTTCTCTTCCCCATTCCCTCGCTCCTACTGTCACTCGGCTGCTGTCTGAAAACAGGTGGTTTCCCTAGGGTGAGTGGGGGCAATGTGGAGGAGAAAGCTGCAGATCAGCAGAACTAGATCCTCACATAGGAGCGGAGCAGCCTGTAAGTCCAACTCAGTCTGTAGCTCAGTGTGTTTGTGTCAGGATACGCTCACAGAGATGTGTTGTCTCTGTGACGAAGTGATTTTGACCTGCCTGTTTCTTTAAAAATACCTCTATACCCCTGAATATGTGGATTAGATTCACTGCACCTGTATGTTTATAGCATGAATCTACAGGCAGTTTTTATTCCAGGCTTGTAAAGTGCAGTTTTATTTAGTATATTACTTAGTTACTTTGGGATAGCGCATTATTATAAAGCAGCCTTCTATAACGGTTTATAAGGTGTGCTTACATGTGCCTGCTGCCCCATCTGGGACACAGGCCTCCAATGAGGGTCCTCCCAGCAGCTCTGTCCTCTGCCTGTCTCTCCAGCTGAGCCCAGGTGCAACCCAGACTTTTGGTGTTTGCCTCCAGTTCTCAGCACCAGGTGTTGCGTGTTTGTCTTTCCTCTTGCCTTGTGGATTTCACATGAGGGTTTGCCTGCTGATGTTTGATGCTGCCTTACAGGAGGGTGTGGCCAATCCACCTTCATCGGCCTTTGAGGTTTGATTTGTTCACTGCCACAGCTGCTCGTTGCCGATGGTACGGGGGATCCTTCTCAGGCAGGTGTTCAGGAAGCTCTGGAATCTGTTGGTGGTAGTCACTGTGGTTCTCTGTGTCTCAGCACCCTGACTGACTTGGCGTTGCTGTTGAAGGTCAAGGTGTTCACATCTTCCAGTGCTTTACCGCCCCATGTGATAGGGTCTGTGTTTGTGGCGTTGACTCGAGGATCTTGCTCTTCCCTCTGTGGCTGTTTAGTCCCAGATGTGTTGATTGCTACATTGTTGGTCTTCTGTGTCTGCTGGTGTGTGTCTGTGAGGTCAAGGTTCTTTCAAAGAGTCCACTGGACTTTGTTTTGCTTCTGAACTGTGGACGTGATCCATGATACATTTCGATTTTCTGTATGTCCTGCGCATATAATGTGAATTGACAATAAAATCCTTGAACCTTGATTTTAATAACATCTGAATGATAAATGTTTGACCATTATTAACGGTTCTCAGGTTCCTCAGCATTATTGAACATAAAAACACCACAGTAAATGTAATGCTAGGATAGCGCTTTATACTAAGTTCTCATAATGTCAGTCATACTGAAATTATTACAGAGTTGTTTTGTTTTCTGAATTGTTAGTAAACTACAGATCGTTAAAACAAAGCATTAAATGGATTTTGGTCCAGATGCTCTGGAGCATTTTTCCAAACAGTCCATTGGAGGAATGGAAGTGCATGGCTCAAAGTGACCTATAAAGCATTAGTATGACTTATTTACCATTAATGAAGACATTTTTGTTTGCTGGAGCTGCTTTGTTCACTTTTCCTTCACCTGTGTAAAACACTTTGGATTGCCTCTGTGCTGCTGTACCTTTATGTACAAGTGATCAGTCAGTCACACAAATAGGACAACAGGTGACTGCGCTCTCAGTTTCAACCTGTGCAACCTTTTCTAAACCATCTTCTGCCTGTTAAACTAGCAGTTTGTTCCTCTAGAGCCAGAGAGGTTCGTCTCAGGTGATTCTTACTTACCTGTTAATTAAGTCTACTTTTTTAAAGCTGTTGACTGAGAGTTTAAACGTAGCCAAGAAAATCGATAGACAACAATACTGTAGATTTTATACATTAAAAAATGCAGGGATGGTTAGAGGACATTATGCAGGCTGACATACTGCAGGTGTTACTGTCCGCTGTCACAGTGGAAACCTGCCTGACTCTGGCTAGAAATAACTATGTAGGTACACTGTGCTGTTTATCTCTAATATCACTGTTTTTCCTGGTTGATTTCTGTGGCGTGTATTTTCTTTGAGGATAAATTGCAATAAACAGAACCCTAATGCTAAGATGCTTTTAGGGAAAGTGATGCTGATGTGTGAGAGAAACATCCGCTGTAGCTGCTTTTACCGTTGTTGGTTCTTGCATTTGCTCTCTGCTGGGCTGCATTTATGGCATTACACTTATTTATTTAACGTACTGGAACAAACCGCTGTAATGGTTCTTAACAGTGGCATCGTTTTTTTGTCTGCTGGGTTTGCAGGAAACTTGAGAAGAGACTAAACTAGAGAATGATATCATAAGATGAGGATTAGAACTGTGACAATTAGTCAGTTAGTTGTTTAACAGTAAATTAAGGACAGCTGTTTTGATAATTGTAAAACTGGAAAAACTGGAAAGCTACAGGATACAAAAGGCCATGTTATAGTATGTATATGAAGGTCTTCTATGCACAAATCTGACTCAGAGAGGACTCTAAATGTTCAAATAATACAAACGAACAGTATGGTGGACAAGCTTAAATGGGAAGTAGGGGCATCATCATAGTATTACTGCATTGTTGTATTGTTGTGTAAAGGCGGCATATACTCCATGCAGCACTGTTTTCCAGAGTACACATGTACTGTTATTAACCTCGACACCCTCGTTGCCTTACATGCTGTAATTTCCACACTGATGTAGGTCAAGCTTTCAATCCAGTTTCCAGTGTTGCTGAAGGCAGAGACTGAATTGATCCTTATTGCTTTAACATCTCAGACTCTGAATGTAACTTGTTGTCAATATCTTTTTTCCCCAAATGGCCTGAAGGAAAAGAACAGTTTTAAATTCTGGATTGTAGCTCATATAATTATTATTATTATTATAATTAAGTCAGTCGATGAAGGCAAATGATATTCTATATTTTTTCACATTGTCAGAAAATGATATAAAAAGACCAAAAACAATAACTAGAGTTCAACAGTACCCACAAGCTATTAAAACCCACTACATGGCATGGACACACACACTATACTTGCAACCTGTTTTAGGTTTACATCTTCAATCGGAAGCTATGTACTTGTAGCTTAGTGTGGCTCTAGTAATGGCATGTTGGTAAGCACATTAGCATTGTTGGACATGTCATCATAGTAGCATTAGCATTTAGCTCAGACCAGACTCAGTCTTATTTCACTATAATTTGGTTTCTGTATTATCTGGAAATTAATTAACAGGCTTTCTCATATGTTCACTCAGATCCAAGCTAAATTTTATTATATGTAAGCAGCCAATTTCATTATCTGGCAGTTATTCTATTATCAGTAGATGTACAGTATATCATTGTACATCATGCTTCTATCCTGTAAGAAGAAATTATTTTAGTTTTTTATGGATTTAAACCTTGCTGTCTTATACTGTGAGCCAGTGCTGGCTGTAGTATTAACTCTCCAGCTTTGCAACCCAGCGCATTTTTATATTTTAATTGAGCCTAAAAAGCAATTTTCACAACCCACGAATCCTTAGTTTATCCTAAAAGTTAAATATCACTGGTCTCTGAGGGTACATAGTTTTCACCACAGTGATGTTATGTTTTGTTGTTTAATTTAATTTCAGTTTTTTCCCTGAGTCACATTCATTTTTTCCAACTTCACCATCAGGTTGAAACATAAACACATAACAACATCCTGTTGTATGAGTAGCCCCAGGCTGCAGCTGCTATAGTATATTATTTAATATGTGCATAGAAGTTCAGCCACTGATGTAATTACATTGATTGAGTACTATGTGTGCACATTGCCCAAGTCCCACAATAACATGTTATGTAATTTAGCATTCCCCCTAACAGCCTCTTTTTTCATCTTCTGTTCCAGGGCTGAAAAAACAGAAGTATTAAGTGAAGACTTGCTACAGGTACTAATGAATCTTCATCTTAGGTGTGTGTGTTTGTTTCTGCATTATGTTTTCCACCTCTTGCAAGCAATAGTCATTACTGGTGCAAACTATTATGTGTGCATAAAATGTTTTTTCCATCGGCTTTCTGAGCCGACTTCAGGCAATGTTAATGAGCGCTGAAATTGAACGTCTTTGGGAGGCAAATGGCTGAACCTCCCTACTGATTGACTTAGGGTGCAGCACTGTAATTGATCTGATTAATGACTCCTCCAGTGGCTTCAACAACAGCTACACTGAAATTGTTTAGTAATGAAGTGCAGGGCATTTAAGTGAGACAGGTAATGGTCTCATATAAGTGTCATCAGGTGAGAAGAACCTTGTTTATGAACCAGTATTTTGAGAGACAAACAGCTCCAACAGACAGCCGCAGAGTCGGAGTTTTAATCAGACTCTATTGTAGCCTGAGCCTTTGAACGCCTGTACTGTATACAGCACACACATCTATAATGTCTGTAGCTGCCAGTGGACTTGTCCCAAAACTGACATAATCTGCACATCAGGCGTGAGTATGTGTGTTACCCACTTCTCACTGAGGCCTGTCCCCTGTTTTTTCTTTCATTCTGTGTGCATCAGGTGGAGAAACGTCTGGAGCTGGTCAAGCAGGTTTCCCACAGCACACACAAGAAGTTGACCGCCTGTCTGCAGGGCCAGCAGGGTGTAGATGTGGACAAGAAGGCTGTCAGGTCACCGTCGGTAAGACTCAGCACATGGCCAAGGATGTTTGCTGTGTGGTGTTGTTTCTTTCTGTATTTCCATGGTTAATTGGCCAAATGTAGATACTCTGATCTGATTTAATGTCAACATAGGGCTGCTCAAGAAATTATTTTTTTTTTAGTAATTCAAAAAAGAATCTGGGTAGAAGCTGGAGCTGCAGCAGTATGGACATATACAGTATCCCTGCCAAAACCTGTCATTGTGCTTCATGTTCTATTTTGTATCTTGTTTTTTTGTTCTGGGAAAAGTGAGAACAGTCAGCAAAATTTAGATGAATGAAAAAAGATGATAAAACCAGGCTCTGAACTCATCTCACTGTATCTCATTGATCACAGTGAACACGAAACAAACTGATATCTGACCAATACAGATTGTTTTCTTCAGGTGTATCAGGATTGTGTGTACAGATTGTGCATCTTTGTGTGCTTGTATTTACAGTAAGTCTGTGTCACAGTTTGTTTGATTAATTACAGCTGTTGTCAGTGAGTGGCACACTGAGCAGACTGTAGTCGCTGATTCATCCATTCCTTGTGTGTTTCTGATTAGAAAAAGCTTCCTCTCACAACACTAGCACAGTGTATGGTGGATGGGGCGGCGGTGCTCGGAGATGAGTCTCTACTAGGGTAAGAGCACATGCATCATCAGTGATGGTCAGAAAGAGCTGACATGAAGTGTTTTTATCCTCCATTGACCCAGAATTGATTTTCAGTCAGATGAGGATAAACTCTCTCCATTGTTGTAAAGTGCAAACCACGTGCTGTAACTAAAGGAAATGCAGACAAATAGACACAACACAAGCAAATGAAGAGAAGATCTTGATACATTTTGAAAAAAGCCCTGCATAGTAAGAAAATAAAACACAACGGAAAGGATCAGTTTAATTCACTTATATGAGCTGACAGTGTAAGTGTTCCTACAGTAGTTTAACTTTATGAGTCCATGATTTATATTTAATGTACTATTATTTAAATTTGCTAGCTGGTAATCTATAACATGGCTAACACTGGGTTAGCAGCAGGCACCTGCAATAAATAAATGGAGATCAGAATGTTAAAAACAAAAAAACAATCTCATCTCATTTACATTACGTGAACCAAAATGTTATGTAACTAATTTCCGTCTCTCCTTCAGTGTTTCTGTATTTGCAGTGTTTTTCTAAATGCTGCATGTGTCATCATAATGATAAAGCTGCTTCTTTTTTCTTTTTTGTTTTTTTCATGGCTGAAATCCTGACATCGCATCCAGGCTTCTCATTCAGCATTTCTTTCAAGCATGCTCCTGAGGGTTATAGAAACCTTGCTGATTTTAACAAAATAAAACATAATTTACAGTACTTGGTTTTGTCCATATCCATAAAACATGGCAACAGTTTTTAAACTTTAGTTGTAATCTCTGCTGCCTAGGAACGTCTGCAGCGTTCCGTCCTCCTTGTCCTGCTGTTACTACAGATGTCATGACCATTCAACTCACTCATGAACTCTCCTCTCCTGTCTAGTCAAGATGCTGCATTCATGTCATAATGTTTAAAATATGAGCACCTGAGCGGGAAACCCAGTATCTCTCATTCGACATTAGACTCTGACTTCTGAGTGGAAGATGTTGGGAATTTCTGACAGACACTGATATCACCTGCTTGGTGAAAAGAACTAAAGACGTGAACAAAATGCTGGTAAAATGGCTGTAAGTGCACCACAGCTGGCAGTTATGTCAAAGTAATATACTGCATTAACACTAATACGGCTCAATTTATAGGAGCTAAACACTATATTTGGAAGTAAACATCTAAAAATACAACAAGCTAGTTTAAGCTGTTTATCTGGTGTGAGCCTAAAGGTAACAGTAATGACAACCATAATAATGTATGAACACTCCCATGTTTTAATATATGCATGTGTTCCCAGTGTACGTTGTAGTGTGCTGAGAATTAACATTAAAAATCTTTTTCATGAGCTCAGTTGACAAAAAAAGTCCAGTAACTTTGTCCTTTGTCAACGGAGTAACTTCTGCAAGTCGAATTATCTGAATGTTTGTATTTGAGATAATTGAAAGAGAATATGGGAGATAAAAATGTTTTATAGGCATATGTTAAACAGCATTAATGGCTGTGTTCAGGTCCACAGTCCCCACACTGTGTTCTGCTGCTGTAATTTATACTGCACATGTACAGACATCACTAGAGATTCAGAAAAAAACACTATCATCCAGGAGAGCTGTGGTCGTGACAGCCTCAGAGACACATGGTGACGCATGCTGTTTGCCTGAGAAATTCCCCTGACTGTTCACTGACATTTCCCTCTCCTGTTGTTTGTTGCAGGAAGATGCTGAAGCTCTGTGGTGAGACGCAGGAGAGACTTGCGCAGGAGCTCATATTGTTTGAGCTCACCATCGAGAGAGACGTCATCGAGCCTCTGTATGAGCTTGCGGAGGTACAGAAATAACACTGTGTGAAGGACTATGCAATTAATGGATTCCTGTGATGTTAATAGCCAGAACAAAGCATAACACTTGTTGGTTATTAAGGATTTTTGCAATAAACAACACATAATGAGAGAAGATGACATGTTAGAGTAATCAATGAAGAACAGGTCTGGAGCAAGTAAAATAAGATAAACTGTAAATAAAATATCACAAACTGCTAAGTTTCACTTGTGCATAATAATAAGTTTGTATATAGTCTGTATGTATAGTTTTGCTGTGCTTAAATGTTGCCTCGGCATCAGTCGCCATGCTTTTTCCATACAGTTTATCAGTAGATATTGGTCTAAGGTTTTCTGAACTTTTCACTATACACAGTGTTTGCTATATTGCCATATTGTGCACTTCTTGGGAAATAATAATGCAATGATAGTGTGTTCTCCTTTTCACTTTCACAAAGAACCTGGCTCTTTGTGCTGCTTCCCATCTATGGATGCTTCCCAAGCTCCCTCTTTTCTTTAAAAAATATTTGCAAAAATGCAACACATCAGATTGTGTCGGGGAGAGAGTGACAAAGTCTAGGACTTATTTCCATCACTGTTCCTACAGTTTACACAAAAGTTGTGAGTTTATTTGTTACACTGAGATAAAACTGATTCAATTGTGCGATTACTTTGGAGGTCATACTGTAGTTTGTGCTACTGCTGAACTGTATTGTGTTATACTGAGAGGTGTTTGTTATTTTGTCCTCCCATTTTATATCAGTGAGATTAAATAACAGAAACCGCTCACTGTATAATCTTTCCGTACTATCCACCAGTGGCACAAACAGTTGAATCAACACCTCTCTGAACATGATCACCTTCCTGAAGGAGGATTTACTGCAGGACTGATTAGTTAAAGCTAGGTTTGCCTAATAAACTGACAACTGAGTGTAAATCCATGCATAAAATGTTTTCAAGTAGATCCCATACAGATCAAATCACAAAGATAAATAAAACATGTCTATTTGAGCCTATTAATAGTAATGAGTTTAGCATCTTTGCAGAACTCCAGTGTTTGTTGAAAGGCATGTACACAAGCCTACAGCTACATTTATCTAATACAGGATATACTGTAGGAGAGAGTCATTCTGATTGTTCTGTTAATTTACCTATACACTATCCTTCATGAGGCTAACAAACAGCTACAGTGCTTTTGGGAGTTTTGCTACAACGGGTGCAAAACCTCTGACAATAGAGAGTCTATGTGTAGGCCCTCTTTCACACCAAGCAACAGACTGAAGATGAAACTCTGCTCTGGCCTTTCAGGTGGAAATCCCAAATATCCAGAAACAAAGGAAACATTTAGCGAAACTGGTCCTGGACATGGACTCTGCACGTACACGGTGAGTCTGCTACTGCATGTGAGAAGAAGATGTGGCTGTGTTCGGAGAAACCCCATCTCCTATGAGCAGACTGGTCCTAAAGCTTCCCACTGAATGTCACTGGGATCTGATTGCACCCAGTGGAGTTAAAGGTCACTCTGCAGTCTAGTGATTGAGTGAGAAAGCCTCAATTAATTCCAGATTTGGCATATTTCATTCGTTTGGCTTTAAATACAAGGCGATATTATAGATTTTTGTTTTGTTAACAAATCCTGTGATGTGTTAGTACATCTAACAACACCCTCTGACTTCACTATTGTCTGTGGCTCTCATTCATTCCTACTGGAGACTTCGGCTTTTAAACACGACTCACAAGTCTTTAGTTTCATTTTTAAAAGAGTTCAGTTATTTCCTAAAGGAAATGGTGCTTTTTGTCAGGGACTATTTTCAGTCGCAGACAGAGGAGGGTTTCACTCAATGACAAAAAGTCACTTTATTTACAAAAGACTGTTTTTGGCCTTTATCGGTGTCACAGTCATTCAGCGTAGCTGTCTTTTAAACAGCAAACAAAGGTGATTCCGTTAAGATAATTGCACCTTGCAAGACATCAGATACATGTCAGTCAAGGAGCAAAGAGCAAAGAGTTCTTTTTACAGTATATCCCTTTCCTCGTAGAAACTGTACACACCTAACATAGTAAAATATAACCGTATATGCAGAAGATTTGAACTTCAGAGTAGGAATTTAACTGCCTACAGTACAAGCTTTCACACTGAGCCTGTGGCACATCACGCTGTTAAACTCTATCCTCACAGCCTCCTGGGGCCCAAACACACAGACCACCGACTGATTCATTCTCAGCCAAACTGCAGGAAGAAATAACACTTGCTGCTAAGTACAATACATAGTGTAGTTTCCAATTTCTTAACAGTGTGAATGTGTTTAATGAAAGGAACTGCATGTTAGGGCTGATCTGAAGTTTGAGAGCACTGCTTGTTATTTGCAGAGACTTGACAGAGAGACCAAGTATTGGTTGAAAAGTTGCTGGAATTCCCCTATAATAATATCTTGACATTAGTTTTTAAGGCAATTGTGGTTGTACAAAACAAAAAAGTATCTATAGCTAAAAGGATGGAATATGAACTTTGTGGTCCAGTAGCTGCAGAACTTTATTCACTTTGTGTTTGTGTGTTAATTTACCATCTGTCTGCGTCTAGCCTATTAGTGAAGCTGAATTACAAGTCATCATAATTTTTCTCCTGTCCAATCCGAAATGGTTTTGTGATCACTAATATACAACCACCACACCGTCTTTGTGCTGATTCGCTGTCATTTCACTGCCATTATGAGCACTGACAAGGGGAAATGTGATTTTCCTCACCGCAGTCCAGTCTGTCAGTTCGTTTTTTTAGTGACCCAAATCTGGGACAGTTTTTCCCACCGTCCTGCTGCGTGCTGAGCTCCTCTGGCAGCGCGACACATTATCTCCCCTCAGACACACAACTCAGAGACAGAGGAAGAGAGAATTAGATGAGGAAATAGTTGGAGTTGAATGAATGAGGATATCTAGACAGACAAGTGTTGGGATTTTGTCAGCAAAGTCTTAAGTATTCTTGTGCCTTTTAAAAACATTTGCTTTGTTTGCCATGAGCCATTGTGAGTAGCTGCCAAGTTTAGTTTTATTTGTCAGGAACAAAAAATCTGAATCTGCTGAAGGCAAATCAAAATGTCCTCATTTGTTTTAACAGGCTGTGTTTATCTACGGAAGAAGATTAGGGCCACTGTTCGAAATGTATTTCAGTTCTGACTTTTTTCTAATAATTCTGACTTTAAATTCAGAATGAGTATTAGAATTCTGAGATTAAAGTCAGAACAACATTTTGTACAGTGGCCCTAATCCTCTTCTGTATTTATGAGTCTTGCCAACTTTTTGCATTGTTTATTCTAGCAAAATTCTCAAATCTGTACTAATTTTGACAAAGCATCCTGAAAAACCAGTGCTCTGTTTCCAGGTACTATCAATCCAGCAAGTCTTCAGGACTGTCCAGCAACCTGCAGTCAACGGGAGCCAAGGCCGACCACCTCAGGGAAGAGATGGAGGAGGCAGCCAACCGCATGGAGATCTGTCGAGTCAGTGATCACCATTACTCAATAAATTAACAGTTTATTATCATAATGCCAGGCAAAGTTGTAGCAAAACGCTGGTGAACACAGTGGAGTATTGAGCAGCAGAAGATGTATTTCCCTCAGGAGTTGGTAGAGACCAAATCGGAGCTAAAAGAGGGGGAATACTGGAGATATGTTCACATATCATAACACAAACACAGTTCAAAATGATGTTGCTCCACATCCATTAATCAAAGTTCAAAGTGTTTATTTTGTCATATGCACAGTTAGGAAACGTGTTTCCCTGTACAATGAAATTCTTACTTTGCCGTCCACATTAATGATGGCTTAGCTTCATTAAGTGTCCCAGTGAAAATACAGGAGCTAGGAGCTTGCAGCCATCATTTGCTACAGCTTATGTCTCTTATAAGTTTGTTCCTGCGTCTTCGGTCGGCCCGGAAGTCGTTCCAGTCAACCGAGGATATCGGACTTTCCAAGTCTCTTATATCAGCTGTGAGGACCAAGGACCAGCAACAGAGCTGAGGAGCCATGTCTCAGGAAACATGAGCCCATCCTTCGTGGAAGTTTTTTGTGAAGATGACACACGCGTTTATTGGAAATCAGTTGGCAATTGGACGCTTCAGATGTAGAATCTGAAGAAAGGACATCTCATGTCATTAATAGTGATTCCTCAGTTCTCTCTCCTTGCATAAGATGTAAGGAAAAGACGCAAGTGAGGGAAAAGACGGTGCTTATGAGAGACTTGGGATGTACCCATTAGTGTAATTAATTACATCTGTACTTTTCCTGCTCATAAAAGTCTAAATGTTTGCTGTCTGTTAAAAAGGAATATAAAACATTTCTGACCAGTCTTGTTTCTTTTTTATGTTTATGTATCTTGTTGTTTTATTTTCCACCAGGATCAGTTATCAGCAGACATGTACAGTTTTGTGGCCAAAGAAATTGACTATGCAAGCTACTTCCAGACAGTAAGTACAACATGTCTCCAGACTGTGGCAGGAATAAAGAAGCAGAACTCTTCTGCTTGTCCATCATAGCCTGTCGGCTCTTTGTTTGTCTCTCTGTGCAGCTGATAGAATTCCAGGCAGAGTACCACAGGAAATCATTGGAGCTGCTTCAAAGTGTTCTGCCCCAGATTAAAGCTCATCAGGGTGAGTTTGAGAACAACACACACAGAGACACACACTCATGATGCATTTTAGTTTGTGATTATGTGCCCTCTCTAACCCTATTAGGGTCTGCCGCAGTGATAATGCGCCCATGTGTGTTAGTTTGCACATGTTTATGACAATTACAGAGTCCTGCCTGTGGAATTTAGCTGTTTTAATTACACCACCAGTCAAGAAACTCAACAGGTACAGACAGTGTCTGTTAAGGTAGCCCCCCTCACCAGGAGGGTGAGGGAAGACTGAGGTTGGACTCAAGTGTGCAGACCCAGGTGCTAGGGGGAAAAACATGACGGTAGCAGGTAAAGAAAGAGAACACAAAGTATCAAAAGAACATAACATGGTAAGGTACGGTACTTGGATATGTATGATATGTAGTGTAGTGTAGTGTAAATGAGCGTA